CAACGTGTCTATATCCACATCAAGCAACCGAGAATCCAATATGCAGCTTTTCTTGATTCTTCACATATTGGGGTGATCGAGAAACGGATGGAGAACAGAGGAATACAAATGTTTCTCTCCAAAAGTACATGTCTTCTGGACCACATATCAATTTAATCAGACACTAGACTGATTAAGGAGTTGTATGGATATGAATTCACTCAAGCAAAAAGCCTTGCAAGTCTCTGACTTCGAATCACACGAAGCCATGAATTTGTTTGTAGAAAAATGCATAGATATTTGGTCAAAATATACACTAGGCTTCAACTGGTAGAGTATTGGCACATTTGAAATCCTGACTCTCCTGGAAAATCTGGAGCGCACAGTCCCAGTGTCTGTGCCAAGCCAGATTCCACAACCACAAACTTTAGAAAACACCCCTTCCTTACTCCGGCGAATCAGGCTGGCTTCCCAAACCCCTGTTGGCCAGCTTTGAGGGAGTACCTTTTTTAAGGAAAACGGTCAATTTGCTAAGTGAGTGACAAGTGGGGTTCCAATGTAAGGTCGGAGGTCCCATTCTAAAGAACACTTGTGTATTTCCCATGCAAGCAGGGACACAAAGGAAAATGAGCCATCGGCTTCTTGCTGTGCAAACCCCTCAGAATTTCTCTCTGAGGCAGAAAAGATCCCCTTTGAGGACAGCTCTATCCAACAGCATCTGCCACCTACTGCAGCTCTTTCTTTCACAAGAGCCACTTCCCTTTCAGGCTCTGGGTGGAGTCGGTTAAAAAGGAGGCGCTGGTGAAACACAAGGACAGCCTAGCCCGGCCCCGATCAGGATGGATGGCAGAAGAGGCCGGCTCCCCTCCCATCACCCCCTGTCCATCACGGAACCCTGCCTGGAACTGTCTGACACCGAAGGTGGATCTTAAATCTCATTTGGGTGGCCACATGTCTCCGAGAGCCCCACAGTGGCTTTCCATTCAAGAGCCTTGATTTTTCTAGAGAACCATATCAGTCCATCCCGGGGTGCTTAAGACTCTCCCTCACTGGCGCACATACAACCTGCTAAGCGCTGAGGGTTTCCACCCAACATGTGACAAAGGAGCTTCCTGGGTCATCGCACTCAAAATGCTCACAGGGTCAGAGCCTCCGCAGGGCCTCTTTCTTAATTTCCAGGCAGAAGGCACTGCCCTGACTTGTCTCTTACACAAGGAACAGCCTCTCCCTTTTCACCAAGCCTGCAAATGAGAGCATGTCTAGAAGGGCAGCTGGACTCTGATAAGGGAATTGGTTTAATTTTAGTTACAAATAACTAGGTTGGCATCTCTGGACAGCTGTGGCCAGGCCTGGGGAGAGACAGGCCAAGGCAGAGCAGGGCAGCCAAGAGTCCTCAGTCTGCCAGGGGGAGAGGAAAGCCACTCACACCAGGCTTCGTGTTCGCCAGCCTCATACAATTTCCAATGTCCTCCAGAGGCTAAGTAACAAACCAGAGGAACACAGGCACTGGAGTCTAACCCGAGGGATGTCAGACAGAGGGGGACCCCAACGCCACCACTCACTAGCTGTGCATCCTTGGGCAAGTCATGCCATCTCCCTGAGCCTCAATTTCTCTATCTAGAAAAAGGAATTAAGAGAGAGCTAAATGTATATAGGGCTATCATGAGGCTTATATAGGATAACCTACTTAAGCTTCTGGCTGAATGCCTAGCATAGAGTCAGTACTCAGTAAATTGAATTCCCTGGGGACTCAGGAAGCTACAAGAGCAGAGTGCCTCCGAGGGGTCCAGAGACACTCCAGGAGACCCTGGACAGTACAGAGACTCTTCCCTGAGCAGCAACTTTGCTTGATAATAAGAAATCTATATAATTATTCTTATATTAAACTCAAACTGGGTACACTGTGAAGTAAAACACAAAATTGTAATGAGTGTTGAGGATAGCATTTAAGGCATGAAACAAACATTGCTCCGTCAGTAGACCACACCTTCCCCGCCCACTGAAGTGGGTAGAGGTGCGGCTCACGACAGCCCATGATGATAGAGGTATTCTGGAGACCCGAAGTTTGGAAAATGTCCTTGGCTTACACTCTGCCTAAGAGAGGAAAGTGATTTCTCCTCTCTTCTCTCTCTTTCAGGATCTGTTTCCTCCGTGGGAAAAAGAAGGGATTTTTCAGAATGATCTGTAGAGTCCCTATCTCTGAGTCTACAACAATGAGTCAAGAAATATTTCTTGAATGAATGAAAGGGGATCTGTCATTAACTAAGAATTTCATGCTGCCTAGCACCCTCTCCTGAGTGGGGCTATTGCGGGGTGGCGGTGGGGGAGAAATGGAAACTTTCCCTACTAGCTGCTAGCCTCAAACATACCTCCTTGGCACCATGCCTTTGCAGGAAGTAAGATGTCCATTGTGTATGTGGAGGACAACTGAACTAACTAATGCTAACCTCAGCAGTGATGGTGTTTTGCTTCCTTGCTTCTTCACCTGGGAAAACACGACTAAAGCTGGAACTCCCAGAAAGAGGGGTCTCTAATGCTCAGAGGCCACCCCCAAGCCCCAGGAGCTCTCAGACACATCCATCTTTCTAAACGCCAGGAGCGCAATTCCCTAGCAATGACCTCTCACCCAAAGAGGAAAGGAGAAGGAGGTGCCCACTGCCCTCTGCCCAGGACCACCTTCTTCCTTCCACATGTGACACCTAGTTCAAGGTATCTGTTCTCCAAGTTACAGATTCTGGGTCCAATGCTGCTTCACTACATTTGGCCATTTCTCTACTTCTTGCTTTCTAATATGAAGACTGGACTTTTCTTCCTCCCTGAAGTCTTGCCTTTTTCCAAAGTTTCCTCACTGTCCTCTGGAGCCTACTGCCTCCACTGGAGGGGTGCCACAGAGCCTCCCCGCCTCCTCTTTCTCCTTGCCCTCTCTGCCTGCCCAGCCCCAGCCCCAGCCTGAGCCCGCTGTTAAGTCACGTCTCCTGTCCAAGTCTCAGTTCCTCTCAAACAACTTTATGAGCACATGGAAGCCTGGGCCCAGGCAGTTATTGCTACCAGCACTTTTTTGTGCTTCCTCCGAATTATCGCTGCCCAAGGGACCATGAAAATGCAGGCAGGAGTGAGCTGGCTGGTCTCAGGGAGAACTTCAAGGGTCAGGACATTGCCAAATATTTGGGGATGGGCCCTTTAGAAAAATCAGCCATACAGGGTGGAAGGAGTCAGGAGTCAGAATCCTCAGAAACAAAGCAGAAGACGTTATAGGAAATTAACAGACAAAGAAACTTGTCTGGAGGCCACGGAGACACCAGCATGGCTCCCTTTCCCTGAGGGCAGGCTCAGGGCTCTCCCCGAAGTCTTTTCCTCCTCTCTCTCATCTCAAGCACGTCTGCCTTTTAAGGGCTCCTTGGAGCTCCCATTCCCTTTGGAAGCTTCCTCTAAGGCCCCTGTCCACCCCACTCCTCCTTCCATAAAATCCTGTCTGAGTTTGTCCCTGCCATACGGACAGCCTAACATATTCTGACTAAGCACAGGCCAAGGGGCCTGGTTCACAGGAGCACCAGTCCTTCCGGCTGTGTGAATACCAGCAGGTGGCTTAACCTCTTTGAGCTGCAGTTTCCCTCCTGTACAACAGGGCTGATGACACGACACTCCTCTCTGGGCCATGGAGAGGGTAAAATGAGATGTAAAGAATTTAGCACGGTGCCTGGCACAGTGAAGAAAGTTACAATAAATGCTGGCTAGTGCTGCATTTATTATTTATTATTATTATTATTATTATTTTTTATTATTTATTATTTATTATTTATTATTATTATTAATTTTGTTTGTTTGTTTCAGGAATCTAAATCCTAGATCCCCGCTTGTCCTCAGTCTAAAATACCCAGGTCAGACGGTGTCTTTTACTTTCTTGGTACACCCCAGAACTGGTTTTAATAAATACCTGCTGAGTGGAATTAACCATAGGTTGAGCTGTCTTAACGACCCAGCTGGCACTTCTTAAAAGAAAAATTAATTCTGCGAGTGATAAGCAAATCAGCCATGTAATTATCTGTATATATATATAGACAAAGAAAAGGAATGCTTGAAGTTCAGCCTGGCCAGAATACCTCACACGCAGCCACCCCCAGGCCCTCCACAGCCACCAAAAGGCACAGACCCCGTTGGAATGGGATCTTGGCAGCCCCAACTCCAGGATCCCTAATGCAGCCCTGGTGCCCAAGTTCCTCCTGCTCCGAGGCTGCCAGGCAGGGAATCCAAGCAGCATTTCTGTCTGGATTTCCCCTAACTGACTGGCAGAAGCAGGAGGTTGCAAGCTTGGAGCAGCTGGCCCAGTCACTGCCTCTCCTACTCACACTCCCCGCTCCAGCCTGGCACCTCGTGGCGACCCAGAACCTCACCACAGGGCTGCATCAGGTTCCCACAAGTGCTAAGATCCTTAGTAGCTGGGGCCAACCGTAAGAGCTTCGGAGACCAGGCGCAGTGAGGGAGCCGCAGGAACCCAGGATTCCTCTCGGGAAAGCTCGCTGCCACCAGCTCTCACACATGGCAACTATGCCCACCTCTCTGGCCACCTCGCTAACAGCCCAGCCCCTGCCCCTGCCCCAGTCCCTGCCTCTGTCCCAGCCCTGGTCCCTGCCCTTCTCTGCCCGTACTCAGCCCCGCCTGACTTCGAGCGCCCTTGGGCACAGGAGCCTGTTCCATCCAGACACGGGCTGCGCGCACTCAGGAATACAGTTACTTTCCGCCTTGGTGCTCCCGCTCCATCGACCTCACCCAAAACTGCGCGCCGGCAGCCTGCCCAGTAAACTTGCCCTCGCTCTTTCTCTTTTCAACAAAACGGTGCTTCCCACCGACAGGCTCTCCAACAGCTTAGCGCAAATCCTCGCCCGGCTCTCCTTAACCAAATCCGCGCGGCTCGCCGCCCACTCGACTCCGGCCCCCAAGAGCCAACTCAGCCCGCGCGGCTGCTGGCTGGGTCCCGGCCGCGCCCGCCACTCCCTCCCGCGGCCCCGGCGGCGGGCACTCACCAATCTGCACCTCCAGGCTCAGCTGCACGAGGCAGAGTCCCCAGGCTGCGCGCCACCAAAACGTGTCCATGGCGTCGGAGAGACCGAGAGAGCAAGCGAGTGGAGCGGGGCGCTGGGCGGGGGCCGGCGGAGCGCTGGGCGGAGGAGGGCGCCCGAACCTGTCGGAGGCTGGGGTCCGGCTGGCAATGAGGGCGCCTCGGAAGTTGGGTGCAGTTTTTATTCGAGGGCCGAGAGTGACCTAAGAGGGAGGGAGCGAGCAGAGGACACACCCAAGCGAGGGGGCTGTGACTAAGCAGCCGGCAGACGTTTAAAGACGTACGGGCTCTCCCTGGCGCTGGCCCCTCCGCCCCCGCCCCGTTCTCCGCCGAGCCGGTAAAGCGGGGCTGCCGGGGCGGGCGCCCGGAGGGCAGCGGGGTCCCCGTGCACCCAGGGTGCGCCGGCTTTCCTTCCCCGGCCTCCGGAGGCAGGAGGGAAAGACTGGTCCTGAAACCTCTCCTCGTGGGAATGAGCCTCTGGCCTCTCCTCTCCGCTAAGTTTCTCTTTGACCCTAGCTGGGGAACTCGTCTCTCTGGGTTTCACAGGCAGCTGGATCTTCTGGGAGAGGAGCCGGGACAGTGGCCAGGTCCTTCGCTGGACAGTGGTGCTTTCCTGCCCACGGTGGGCCGCTTGTGATTCTTCCCAGAGGAAAGAGGAAGAGCTCATTCTTTCCCCGTGAAAGGCAAGGGAAATCCATGTGCCTCAGGTGGATTTTTGATTCTTATCAGGACTGCTCAGCGAAAGCTAATAATAACCAGCCGTGGGGCTGTTACTGGGCTCCACTAACCCATGTGTCATCTTCCAGTCACCTTCCACCTGGACCCATCCACCCGTTCATCCATCCTCTCACTCACACTCTCAGTCATCCTCCCAAACATCCTTCCATCCACCCATTCATCTATCTACCCATCTTACCCTACATCCCTCCAGGGCTCACACATCTATCCATCCACTGTCCATCCATTGTGCGCCCACATCCAACCATCCTCCTGTCCATCCATTTATCCAACCACATATCCTTTCATCTGTCCAATTAACCACATATTCTTCCATCCACCCTCCCATACAATTGATCATCCACCTTTCTTAATCTTTTCACATCTCTTTATAAATCCACATCCATCTATATACTATCCTCTTCTCCCACTATCTGTTCATCCATGTATCCATCCCTCGTCCATATATCCATTCATCATTTTATCCATCCTGTCATCCACCCATACAACTATCCCTTCTTTCTTGCTCTCATTTATACTCCTATCTATGCAAACATTAATCCACTTTCCCCATCTATCTTATCCAGCAAATCTCAAAAAGGGGAGGAGATTGTCATATTCTGCATTTTAAGTTTGAAAAACCATACTTTGCATCATAATTTCATATCTACCTATAATATATCATGATTTAATATTGAAAAGCAAAAGCAGCATTTATTGTTAATGTGGACTGCTGAAAGTAAATCTGAATGGAATTCTTGCCTGGCGAGACACACAGAAAATGATAGTGGTTACCAGTGACTATGGCAGGACCATGATGGAGCCGTGTCAGAATTTCTGAGGGAAAGCAATTCCCTTTTGATTTTGGAGAGCAGTTTGGAATGACTTGAACATTTGATCAGATGAAGAGGTTGAGGGAGGACAGCAAGATATGCAGCTCGGGGGATAAACAGGGGCCAGGTCATAAATTATACTAGGAAGTTTGAGCTTGATTCCTAAGAAATAAGGAGCCAAAGTGAACTTTATTTGTATTACTATTGTTGTTGTTCTTATTGTTATTGTGCTGAAATACACATAACATAAAATTTACCATTTTATCAATTTTTAGAAGTTACCATTTTAGCCATTAGGAAGCACTTAGTACATTCAGAAAACTGTGCAACCATCACCACTGTCTTATTCGGGCTCCTGTAACAGATAACATGGGGTGGGGGCTTAAACCACAGAAATTTATTTCTCACGTTTCTGGAGCCGGAGACGTCCAAGGTCAGGATGCCATTTTGGTCTAGTTCTGGTAAGAACACTCTTCCGGTTTGCAAATAGTTGTCCTCTCCATCTTCTCCTATCCTTCCATGTGGGAGAGAGGAAGAGAGAGAGGAGAGAGAGGACAAGATCTCTTGTGTGTCTCTTCTTATAAAGGCAGTAATTCCATTCATGAGGGCTCCATCCACATGACCTCATTACTTCGCAAAGGCTCTACCTCCTAAGACCGTCATACTGAGGGGTTTAAGATTTCAAAGTATGAATTTGCCTTGGTGGGGGGCAAACATTTAGCCAATAACAAACACTATCTGGCTCAGTGTAAGTTTTTTGAGTTGGGGAGAGACTGCTTGACTACAGGCTGCTCCTCTTGCATTTTCAGGGAGAGTGTTCGGGACTGAAAAATCACTGGACCTACCACTCCCCAACCACTCAGCGACTGGCATCCCGTGACTCACGGGGTGATGTGTTTGAAACAAAAACAGTGCCCCTGAGCCCCACTTGAAGAGCAAGCACTTTGAAAAATACTGCCAGTAGCAGCAGAGTTGGTCCTGCTGCTGTCTGTGACCAAGAGGACGCTCTCCTGAAACAACTGGCTCCCAGGTAGATCTCCAGGCTCTAACCACCTGAGAAGCCAGCCCTGGTGAGTTTCATGGCAAGAACACTGCACAAGGGATGGCCTTGGCCATCTCATGTCACCTCCTGGGCTTCCAGCTTTCTTTTTTTTTTTTGGAGGAGGGGAGAAATGTGGGATGGGTATTATATAAATACTAGAAAAACTGTCTTTCTGTGCTTCATGGAAGTTGGAGGTTCCTTGGAAACCCCTCAGAAGCAGACACAGAGTGGTCTGTGCCGCCCCCAACACTGTCCCCATTGCAGCCACAGAAGTGCCACTTGCATCAATTTTATACACTCAACTACTGGGTGAGATTTCATTTTGACAAAGAATTTCACCTTTAAAAAATGTATAAAAACCACTCGACTAGGTCATCTTGAACCCTGGTCCCTTCTGCACTTGTGTGGTAACCTCAGCAAACAAGAAACAAAGTAATGGATGTGAAAGTATTTTGCAAACTGCAGTGGGACACGCAAATGCGAGGCATTGTAATTAGGATTCTTCTCCCAGGGGAGATCTTTTGCCTGCCTGCTTCCCGACAGTTTAGTGAGGGACTGAGGTTGTTTGCCCCCATGCCACAAATGACTCATTTCAAGCTGACCTGGTGACTTACTGAGTCAGGGCTGGCCTTTGGGACTTCCTGGATCACCTCTCTAAGCCAGTCCCCTCCCCACTCCCACCCATGGGTCTTGGTCTCACCAAGTCTTTCCTGTGCTCTATAAAGGTGAAATCCTCAAAATCACTAATCTTAGATGCTCAATATCAGTTGTAATTTGCAGCAAATACTTTTTTCTTTTAAGCAAATACTTCTTAAAGCCAAACCATGCAATGTGGGAAACTGAAATAGAGAGCTTGAATTGATCTGGGTTGATGTGAGGTTACACTATTTGAGAAGAATCCAGAATTCGATCTGCAGCCTCGGATGAGGAAGACCAAGTCTGAGCCTCAGCTCTCCCCTTATCAGCTGGTGACTTTATTCAGGTCACTTAACCTCTGGGAGGGTCGGTTATCCTGTCCACAAAATGAGGTTAACCAGATTTTTCGCACAATTTGTTAGGAATAGTAAGTGAAGGAAGGCAGCAAGGACTGGGGTGCCTGCTTCATGGTGGGTCACATGACCCGCCAGCCTCTAAGTCACCTGAGGACTGGACCATGGCTGTCTTAGGTCCCGTGCACGCTCAGCTCTCTGTGCCCGATGAGTCTCTGTATGTGCTGTGCTCAACGAAAAAACATTCCATAAATGCATGAATCCCTGTTCATTCTCTTGTTCTTTTTCCTCCCAGCACACTTCAGAGGGTGACTTCAGGAATCACGTGAGCCAACAGGTAGAAGCATTCAGACAACTTGGTGCTTTCCAGACAAATACAAGCAGCAGGGTCACAACTGGGTGACCACTTTCAGACCCGAGGCAGCCAGAGTCTAGTTCATGCTGGCAGACTAGGCTTTGTTTATTTTTTTTCCCTAAGATGTTGGGACCCGCTGGCTTCTGACTAGGAATACATCTTGTTCCTCTTAAGCAAAGAAAAGTCAGATCAAAAGCAAATGTTAGAAGGAATGTGTGGAGCAAGGCTGGGAGATGGGAGATTCAATCCTGGGATTTGAGGGTTATGAACACAGCAGGCCACCAGGCTCTTTTAAAGGGACAACATTCAATTCTGCACACATGGGGCTGCTTCCCAGGGAGGGAGCAATCTGGCAAAGTGAATGAAAAAGTTCCATTCCAGTTCATCTTTCACTCAAAAAATAAATCCATTCCTGGGTCACCCTCACAGTGTGAATTCCACATATGCATGTGAGCAGAGGTGAAAAAGCTCTTGTGAAATAATTATCAGTGAAGTCTAAATACATCGGTAGTTTGGGAAGTAATCTTCATGATACATAAACGACATTGCATGACTAATTGATCTTGAGCTAACCAAGTGTGATTATGGAGCTGAGCCTTTAGGATTACTAAGGCTTTCAAATTATGGCAACAAAAGTAGTCGGTGCATCCTGGAAATGCCAAGGAGATACGATGCCTCTGGACTCCAGATACGGCATGTCAGTTACAAAATAAGCTTTACACAGACCTCTGGAAGTTAAAATAGTATGCTGTTAGGACCAAATCCCACAACTCAATGGTAACTAATTAAGAAATGTGAATTTTTGAAGATGAGGTTTGAATGAACAGTGTGTGACTTTATGTAGCAAGCTAATTAGGAAGACAAATGAGAGTCTATATTGTGTGCATTATTTAAAAGAAATTTAAGTATTCTTTTTAAGTTCACATAGTAACTAAAATTCTTATTTATTCATCTTCTCTTCACGTCGTATGAATTGCTAGTTAAACATCTATTGGAAGTCTTTAAGGGATCTGCATCAATGAAAATTTAAGCATTATTTGTGTTGGTCACATCCATGATCGATATACAATGGTAGCTAATATCCTTGAGGTTGTCTGAAAATTGTTTGTTCTCTTCATTCATTCACATGTGACTATTAGATGTTGAGCAAAATTTAAACATTTTTTATTCCATCATAATTGTCACACTCCACCACTGCTGCTATCACCACCACTACCACCACCACCATCTCCACCATCATCACCACCATCGTCACCACCCCCACCACCACACCACCACTGCCAGCAACACCATCACCACCACTACCATAATCACCACCAGCAGCATTACCACCACCATCACTACAATCACTGTC